TATAAATACATTTTAAGAAATGTATATTTAAGTTTGTTATGGAAGAGCTGGGAACCCTGACAGAGGTATTTCTTACTTAAAAGGGTTCCCAAATCTTACACATTGTAATGCATATGTACTTAAAATGAATAAACAGATGTTTATTTAATTTATTTTTACTAGTACTTTACCCTCAGTTGGTGTCTCTTTTATTTTTCCATAGACTCTGGTAGAAATCGCTTGTTAGCGATAAGGGCGCCCGTTGCCTAATAACTTATGTAAGCTGTTTTTATGTATGTTTAATGTAACTAAGTGTAAATAAATAAGCCTACGTCTTGTATTACATAATATTTTCGTGAAACATATCAAAATTAAGTTTGTGTTACATATAAAATATTTAACTGAGTGAGTTCTCATTTACGCAATAATCAAGTATGCGTATGTATTGTTGTCTTTAGAACTCTGAAAGTTAATTGTTTTCCCGAGTTGGAAAATCTTAATTATTAACTACCCATTCTATTTGCACGAGTAGGCTAAACATTGTCAGATATTTGTATAGTGAATTGATAGTATAGTTGCCACTAATACCTACTTATACCTAGAAGCCTAAAAATCTATAACTTCGATATATGTGACAGGCCTCTAAATGCTATACAGAAACAGTAACAAAAGTCTGGGGACAAGACCAAGAATGACAGCAATTTAAAAATATGTTAAATCTCTGTTCTTGATATTTTATTTTATTATCTTGGTATCCCACGAAAAATTGTGTTCTCAAATCAACTAAGATTAAATTTAAAGTAAAATTTACTGTTTATTTACAAACCCTTGAAAACAGGATTCGACAGAAATCATTTGCATTAAGGTTAAAAAGTCATTTGCAATAACATACACAGTATATATTATTACTATATATAATATAAGACACTACATTATAACATATACACTATATATTATTCACGAGATGATGTCTATTTAAATAAGAATAGTAAAAAGAAATAAACGTCCATTAAGAGTTTGGTACAAGTTAATAAGAACTTTGTTGTAATGGAGCTGAAGAGTTTATTAGCTTCAACAGGATCAATAAATTTTTGTGTTGAATTGTCCATTAACAAGGTCTTACGATCTTCTTCGTAGTCTTACTGAAGACCTTGCCTGTCTTGAAAAGCCCTAACCAATTCGTTAAGCTCAATATTTGTAATCGATTTAGTAGTTTATTTGTTATAAAGAATAATTGACGTTTCGAATTGTGATTATTATTGAGTCGATGATATCGAAGTCTAAACAAAGATGTTTATTCACAGTCGATGAATATCAATCATCCCTATTCAGACCTCCTGCCATCCTCCCTACGACCGTATAAACGCTATTAGAACTGTTCCCAACCAGTAAAGTATTCTTTATTGATAACGTTTAGCAAGGGCATTAAATAGTGTATTGCATTTGGAACGTGCACTAACATCTGGTCAATGTTAATCAACTTGGTTTAATTCTAACCATGAATTAATGTAGCATCTAAATCCACTTCAGGTCTGTTTTACTAAACATTTGAAAATAGAGATGTTTATCTATGTGTTTATTGGAATTGTTGAGTAGTGTTAGTGATTTAAAACTTTGAGGTCTTGTATTTGACTGACTGCATTAATTTTTGAAGTTATACTTCTTTAGGCGCGTTATGAAAAATTGATGAGAGTGATTGATGAGAGATTTTTACGATGCGCGCGCACCGTGACACAAAATTAGCAGAATGAAGTTGCCCACTAATTGAAGTTCTACTTCTTTAGGCGCGTTATGAAAAGCTTGCTTCAATACAATTGAGGATAACTATCCGTATGTATTATTAATAATGCCAAAGAAGTATAAGTTCTTACGCGCGTACATAAGTACACGCACCCTTTTTTTTGTATTAGTTTTGTAACTTGTATATTTTACGAGACCTAATATTATATGTATGTAGTTATATTTAATATAAATGTATAGTTACACATTTAATTCATTCACTCAGGCGTGTTGAAAACAGTTGAAAAAACAAAAAAAAATAAAATTAATAATTATAATATTAAATATTATATATACACAAACACTAAATCTTACATAAAATGAATTGTCAAATGAATAAATATTTTTTTTTCATAACTTAGTTTATAAGGAATTTAAATTTGTGCTGTGGCGTAGCCCTTCCGGCACCAAGGTTTTCCCCCTTAGTGGTTTTTGGTATTTTCAGTACTTTTAGTTACCATATATATATATATTAAGCAATAATAAATTTAAAAAAAGACGTGTTTTTTTATGTGCGCAAATAAGGTGAAGAGAAACTTGTTAGACCCTAATATTGACTTAACTTATATAAGAAAAATAAGCATTTATTTATCTACATCTTATTTACATTAAAAACAATATATATACTACACAATTTATTACTTTGAAATGCAGCCTTTGTCCGGAAGACGGCCTCCTCTAACTTTTTCAACGTATTTTATTTTTGCCGTCATCCAATTTTCCCCATCTACCCTCTAATCATAAATGTTTCTAAACAGTATCAATGAAAAGACGCAAAAATATGTCTGCCTGCACATTGTATAATCACACTGATAAGATTTCTTATTACACATGACAACCAACTGAAACAGTTTTTGCTAAATGCAAAAAAATTATCCAACATTGTGTACCTTTAATGATATTTATTTTATATACACTACGACCGTTATATATAGTTAATAATATAAGCATCGTTATATATTAACAAATGCGAAAGTTTGTTATGTACATACAAACAAAATTTGTGCTTGTTACATGTAATTCTTAATTATTTTTCTGTTAACTTTAAATATTTGAAACGTTTTAAGTTGAATAAAATTCACGCAAATTTAACGATACATTTTAAGAATGACAAGAGGGTCGTTGAACTCAACATTACAGCTATAACTTGATTAATCATAATAAAGAGGAAGATAGATAAACATTAATTCTGGACAGATTCCGAACAAGTAAATCTAATCATAAGTAATGAATATTTATTTATATTAAAAAATCTTAATTTTTTCATTTAAAAATCTAAACCATTCTCGAATCCACTTGAACACACAAAAAGTCTAAATCGGTCCAACCGTTGAGGAGTTTAATTACAAACACACGCACAGATGTATTTAAATGTAGAGATGTTCTAGATAGACCCATAATGAGTATCATACATTATGTTAGGAATTTCACTCCTTGCTTAATTTCTTGTTAGCTGTAAAGTGCGTGAGAGTTCATTTGTCCAATTATAATAAATATTTATTGTCCTAATTTGTTTTAATTTCGTTTTTTTAATTCATAGAAATGCGATTATTACAATTAACCGGAATATTAATCGTGTCTAGAAGACATTTAAATATGGAATGTCAAAAAAAGAGAAAAAGTTTTATATAACTGGATTTTCTACTCAATAAAATCGTCGGATAAATATAATATTTTCAAAATATTACCTGCATTCGAAAGTTGTTTTATTAACTAAGGGATCGCATTAAAGTTATCTGAGGCTAAGCGAATAATTATTTAAAAATATTATGACCTACCTTCCCTATAAGGCAAGCTTGAATTCAATTAAACAACATGTTATGAATTCATTATACAATTACGAAAATCGAGATTCAATTACCTTATATAAAAATCGTATTATTCCCAAATAAGTACTAAAACTATAATAAATTACATAATTACTTGTACAGGTATACATTTTTTTTCTATAAAGCATCGTTTCTCAATCATTTTTATGTCGCGACCCACGAAAACACCAAAAAGTTAAGTAAAACAGTCTTTTGACCCCGTCATTTATTTTTATTAAATTAATCTACTTACTTACCTTTAAATTTTTAAGATTATTAATTATCTATTATGCAATAACTGACGTTTCATTAAATTTGTTTATTAGTCTGTGGATAAAACGTTTTGGCCTGTTATTTAAATTTTAATTCGAAGATTTTTTTGTCAAAACATTTTAGTTTATAAAAGAAATAGGATAAAGGTGTTTTGAAGTAAAATAACAAACTCTAAAGTTTCATTTATCATACATATATAAATCTTGTTTAGTTTTAGTCTTAATTTTACATTTTGTTTATATAAAAATGAGCAATTGTTTTATACATTAGTCAGTATAGTATATATGGACTGCGGAAGAGTATCTGTTCACCTACAATACAAGAACGTCCCTAGTGGACAAGCGTCGTTAATTAATAAATTTTTAATGTCAACTTAAAACTTTTATTATTATTAGCAGAAGCATAAACTTCATACAGTTGCGAGTCATACACAGGGCAAAACATCGCTGCTAACAAGTTTTGCGCACGATCTATTATTTGCCAGGATTTCTAAGCACTCGTGAACATTCTTTTTGCTACCGCAGGATGAGTGTACCGTGCGGTTTCCGCCCGGCGTAAATATAGAAATGAAAAGAGAAACCTGAAAACGCACTTTGATTTCTGAGTAAACAGAACGCGTTCAAACGCTCCGAACATCCCGAGGTCGTGTTTTATTGTTCCCGGTTTCCACCAGCAATCCGAACTTTATATGTCTGGAATTTATGTGCGCCTAAAAGTTATGGCTTTTTAATGCGCTCCGCGTAAACAGTTGCCTTTTTTCATTCAAAATTATACAAGAAATCGTGCGTTACATAATCTAGTATTATGCAAAGATTGTTTCTCAATACAGAATTGTAAAAGACACGATTCACCTTGTTAGCTGATATTTAAATGTAAATCGCCTACGGTAGAAATAAGGGTATGTTATCTTTTAATTACGGCTGTATGCAATTTCCTTTTGTGTAATTCACAACGCAAAAACAATGTTGTTTTATCGAGTTTCAACAAAAATACAACATTGGCCATAGAACCAACCTACTAGTTTCGATCAATGTTAATTGGGTATTCTTAAAACGGCAGCTCACAGAACAATCAGTAATATTTTATGCCGAAGAACAATCAAATGTATCTCCGACAATAATGGACATGAATAAAATATCCCTTTTGCCATTACGTATTCCATTACTTTGATGCTCCGGACGCGTTACGGAACGATTTTTGGAAGTATAAAGTAACACAAACCTGTTGCCAAACGTGATACGGGAATCGGGAGGCGACCAGAGCCGCTGCTATGGTGTGCACGATGGGGAGAAGAATACCAAAAGCTGCTGCAACTGGAGCACCGACGGGTAAGAGGGCGTACGCAGCAAAGACGGCCCAAATCACGTGGGCAGCCCCTTCGACAGCTGCACCGGGGCTCCAAGCCGGTAGCGTAGCAGCTAGAGCTACTCCACCACCAGCTAAAGCGAGCCAGCAAGCACGAGGCAGACGCCGCTCGGGGGTCACGCCACCAGCACGGCCGCACCACCACGCAAGGCCACCGCAGAGCACAGCGTGGGCACTTAACACGCCCACCTACAAATAAAATTACATTTTCAAAACTAGTTCTTTTAGAAATATAAACAGTGCATCGCAACTATACTTATAATACCATTACCTGTGGCGCTCTTCGCCAGCCTCTAGTGGCATCGACGGCGGCCAGGGCAGCGGCGAGAGCTGCCCACAGCGCTAACGCGGAGCCGACCGAGGTGCGCTGCAGCTTGCAGGCATAGCGGGCATACAGCTCTTCCAACTCAGCGGACTCGAAGCGTCGGCGCGCGAGCAGTCGAGCCAGCGGCCCGCGCGCCGACATTGCCTTCACCGCATGATCCATATTGCCTCACCTCGCCAGCGCGCCCACTACGAACACCCGTCGCTTCATCCTACGAAAAAAATATTGACAGTTATAAGTAACTAAGAACATAATAGGTCATAACACGTTCATTTTACTACATTTTTTATCAGTCTTTTTACGTCTGAGCCTCAGATTTCTGTCGATGATCATTTGTCAATTTAATAGGCAAGTAGGTTATCACCCTCCTGTGTCTGTCACACGCCTTCGACTGTTTGGGTCTAAGGCAAGCCTCACGATGTTTTCTTCACCGTTCGAGCGAATGTTAAGTGTGCACAGCCGGGGATTGAACCAACGACCTGAGGGATGAGAGTCGCACACAGAAGCCTTCTCTAAACTTCAACGAAGCTACATATATTTTAATTGTTGATTATTGAATTTAAAAGAATAATATGTTTTTGGCAGCATGATAAAAGAAAGTGGGACGGTGAAATTATTTATTTATAGCTATTGAAATTATAACTCAATTCCAAACTGCCCACATACATTAAGAATTCAGTTTTGAATATAATTTCGATTTATAATGTAGGTCAGTTCACATAATAGTGCGAAAAAGCTTTAACGAAATATATATTACTTTCAACAATTTATTAATACGATAGAAAAATAACAACGACCTTGCTTCGGAGCTTTTCGATTCGGTCTCGGCGCCTCAGTTTCAACAATATTATGTTAAAATAGGAGAATAAACATTCAATATTATGATTATTGTGGCCGGCTAAAGTTAAGGACAACAGCGGGATAACTTGGTTATTCAGGTGAAGGAAAAACAATGAAATATCGTTATCCAAAATTGTTTATTTTAAAACACAACACAACAAGTTGCTTGACCAAATTCTTGCTCTGTAATTACATTTTTGATTAAACAATTGTTAGTTTAATCTGCGCAAATAAATGTAACGTTTGTTAATGTTATCCAGCATCTTCAGTTATTTGAAAACGCTTTTTAATGCAGTGAGACACTTTAATTTATGGTTAAAGATTTAAATACTATTAATAAAGGTACTCTATACGAGTTAAAAAAACACCAAGAAAGAGGTCATCAATTCTACGTGCATTTTCCTGTTACATAACAAAAAATATTAATCATCGTTTACTAAATTTAATCCTCTTTGTATAATCAATCAATATAAATAAGATGGTTATAAAAGTTTAGTGCATTTTGAAGTTCAATTTCAATTGAAAACAATATCAATCTTCGTAGAAAAATATCTAAAGAAGCAATCAATAACGCTCTCCTAAACATCATTGATCAATGCTTGGTACTTACCCATAATTTATTTCTAACAATGCGAGAGGCAATAAAATCAAACATAACTGAATTAGAGATAACACAGGGGGCCGTTAAAGAAAGATAACATTATCTTTATTAACGCTAAACGAAAACATTTTTGTGGAACATTTTAAATACAAATACATATTTAAGGTACTTTAAACATAAATAACTAACTGTTTTCCTAATATTCTTTATAGGTAAGTATCTATATATAATATACTATATAGCCTTCTATGTCTGACACGAAATATGAGCAAGTATTGCGCATAGATATTTACATCGACAGTCGCCACAGGGTTCAGACTGGCGCGTCTAGCCACTAAGCTAACAGAAGTAATCGGTAGGCTGAAAAGCTTTCATAGACAAAATATTTTTGAAGTTATACATCTTTTGGCGCGTTAGGTGAGGTGATGAGAGAAAATTTTTACGATGCGTGCGCACGCCGTATCAAAAAACCGACACCCTGAATTTAGCTACAGTCAACATTTTAGTTTTTTCTATTGTTAGTGTCGTTTTTTCTGGAAACGTAGAATAAAATTTTGTTCTTGAAAGCTAGCAAAGTTCTTTATTTCTACTCCCTATAATTGGTTAATTCTATCATTCTTAGAAAAAACATCTTTTAACTGAAATAAATTAACAGTCACCGTCTAAGAAAATGATAAAACACGTGCTGTAACTAAAGTATAATATTTGTTGATATACTTAGAATAAAGTTAATTAAAAATAACATTATGTTAGTTGTATATTCCCTACGCTTTTATTCCCTAAGACCCTTTTAGAAACAATGCAACATAAAGAGCGCGCTGTTTGAAAACAATAACACACGCTTATGTGCAAGTATATTTCCATGTCTGCATAAAGCAATTAATTTAATTCCACTGGGGCTGGAACACGTATTATCAATGCTAGTTGTGGGAAAGGATCAACCTCAAACAATAGCCAAAACCCTCAAGCCATAGCCAAGCCCTGGTATCCCCAAGGAAAGAGTAAAAGGCCCCAAATAAGGCAGACGACGCTACCAGAAGCGATTATGGCAGGTTTGACGTGGTTTTTTATTTATATTAACAGTCTTTAACAACACTTATCTTAATGTAACTTTTTATCATAACAGCAGAAACACTATAATATGTCTTATAAATATTTACAGTTTTTTTATTACTATCCCCTCACGGCATACTTTGTATTTCGGGAAATTATCTGATCCATTTTATCATAAAATAATAAGTCCTGTGTACCTTGTCTCCATATAACCCTTAAATTACATACAATTGTCACTCGTAAAGATAAACATAAAATTAGTAAGGGAATAATGAGAAAGGTTAGACTGATAATATAGTAATTAATACTTTTTCCTTGAAATAGTTGAAAATGCGCACAAACATTCACTAAACAATTATAAAATTGAGGTCGTAATTAATAAATATAATTGGCAAAAATTTAATCTCATTCAAATAGCATAAGAATAACCCAAAAAGGAAGTGAATCAAATCGATCGGCCGAGTTAAAAATTAAGGATCACCCTCAAAAACAAAGAATATGTTTTTCGAATAATTCATAAATAATTACAATCAGTTTTGTCTCACATTTCGTTTACAGAAACTGATTCTAATGGTCTACTATAGGGTGTCTCAGTAAGAGTGCACTTTTTAAAATTGTAATATTTTTGTTTTCCTGCAAGTGACGACTCTGAAATTTGACAGGTGTCACCTCTGTTTATTCCGATTATTAAAAATGGTGCGCTTTTTGAAAGAACAACAAGTTATAATTGTGAAAACTCATTACAAAAGTAACGATGAAAACGCTCGCAAACTTCACCAAATTTTCAGCCGAGAAAGTGCACCTAATGTGTCAACCATTCGAAGAGCGGTCAAAAAATTTTAAGAAACTGGGTTAATTATGGATAATAAGAATCTTTTGCGTCAACGTACCGGTCTGTCCCTTGAAAACATTGCTGCTGACTGCTGTAAACGAGAGTGTCGCCGAATACCCGAAAACATCAATTCGACGCAGCAAATTTTGACTAAAGACCTTCATGCGTACAAGATTCACTTAACTCAGAAGCTCAAACCAGCAGACCAAGGAAAGCACCGGCAATTTTCTCAATGAGTAATGGAGCAAAGGGAAGTCGATGCCAATTTTTCGAAAAAAGTCATTTTCTCCGATGAACAGAACACATTATCTCACGAAATTCTGATGTCAACTGGCCACCAAGATCGTGCGATTTAACGCCGTGCGATTTTTTGTTTGGGGTTTTGTGAAATCTCGAGTTTATGCGAATAAACCCGAAAGCATTCCTGAGCTCAAATCGGAAATCCAACGCGTCATCGGTGAGATACAGCCACATCTCTGTGCAAAAGTCATGGAAAATTTCATGAAAAGTGTAATGGCCTGTCATCGGAGCCGTGGAGGTTATTTGCCGGACATTTTATTCCATACTTAATCAGAACATGTCTTCTTTACAATGCAATAAAAATATCAGAACTCTGTCATAAAATACTTGTCTTTATTTAAAAATGAAAAAGTGCACTCTTACTGAGACACCCTATATAAACATTTCCGGGTTGATCGTGATAGAAACAAAATCTGGATCATATCATATATTTGAGCTATAATGGCCCATCTAAGGGTTAGAGGGGCGAGGGGCTCACGGTCGCCGGGTCGATGACCTTAGGAAGAATCGTGATGGGCGAAACGATTCGTACATTCGCGGGGAACGATGTCGGCGTTGCAGTCTGAGTGCTTTGATATCTCAAATCACTAGTACGAATCTCATCCATGAGGTAGAAGGTGCGACCCCCGGCTGGGATATTCTCTCTATGTTTATTTAACATTCGCTCAAACAGTGAAGGAAAACATCGTGACGAAACCGACTTGCTTTAGAGTCAAAATGAAGACGGCGTGTATCAGGCACATGAGGCTGATCATCTACTTGCCTATTAGATTGACTAATCATCACAAAACAGATACAGAAATCTGAGGCCCAGACCCAAAAAGGTTGTAGCGCCACTAATGTTTCACTTCACTAATTTATTTATAGATTAATTTGCGGTTTTAACAAGCGTAAAGTTTGTTTGTATTAAATGATGTTTAGATAGACTCAGCGCGTTTTGCATTTGAAAATTATTACAACCTGTAACTCAAACAAAGTTGCTCAAAGGCTGGAAATTAGCCCCCTTAAATCTTTTAAACTTACTAACGAATTGAATGAATATTATCAATAATTACCAAGGTTTTGCAAGATACATTATACAATACAAAATAGCTAGTCTGTACGTTTAAATCTACACATCTTTTACGCGAATTTGCACGAGAAATAACTATAATAATACTGTGGTCGTTGGTTCGATCCCCGGCTGTGCACCAATAGACTTTCTGTCTATGTGCACATATCTAACATTCGTGTTATGAAGAAAATATTAAGAGGAAATCGATGACATGTCACCTTTGAAATAATAATGACCAAAGAAACGGATGCCATGCCTAGACCCCATACGGCTGTATCACCACTGGATTATAATTATTTATTTCTCCTTACTAGGGTTGCCTGGAAGAGATCACTTGTAAGCGACAAGGACGCGTGGCTATTAATAATATATATTATCTGACTGTATATGTACTAGTAATAGTATAAATAAAAAAAACATGTGTGTACTTATGTAGAAGTTATACTTCTTTGGCTTTCCAAGATAAAAATCTTTTTAAAATT